GAGCTGTGTGAAAGGGTCACGGCATTAGGAAGGTTGCGAACCACTGAGTCTAAGCAATTTCACATTCTGTGTCCTTTCCCCTACCAAGGAAAGGGGCAGAGATCGTGTCCCCTTTTGAGAGTTGAGGGAACAGAGATGCAGAAAGACAGCCTACTTGGGATCGCTTGGCAATGAGTAATCGCCTTGCTAGCACTGAAGGGAACTCCTTCTTAAAGTCCATCTATCAGAAAGAAACACCATGAATCTCCACCCGTGTGTTACGGCCAATCGTCAGGAGAGCTCCGTCCTTTGAGCCACGTGGCATGGGGGTCTGACACCTGGATTCAAATCCCAGCTCTGTGTCGATTAGTTGTAAAGTCTCAGCGAAGCTACCGGACTTCAGTTTTCCCTGGGTCAAAAGAAGAAAATGAATGTACCTCTGCACTGAGCAGCTGTAAAGTGTCAGCCAAGTTACTTGACTTCTTTGGACGTCCATTTGCCCTGAGTAAAAAGAGAAAACTAAGTGTGCCTTTGCTGTAAAGCATAGGTTCCCAAACTTCTCTGTCCTACCGCCCTCTTCTCAGAAAAAGAAATTACTCAGTGGTCCAGCAATTAAAAATTTTGTCCTATATAGCCCATAATCCAAGATAAAATATAGGTGGCCTTTGCTGCCACCACCTGTTAGCACCCCCCAGGGAGTGATCTCACACACTTTGCGAAACACTGTTATAGAGCAGTTTTGAGGATTAACAAAGATGTGAAATGGTCACATATGAAAGGAGTTCAGTAAATGTTACTTTTTTGTTATTATTTCCCTGCCACGTGCAACAGTGCTTTTCAAAACCTAACTTCCCTATTCTGTGATATCCCACAACTAGTGATTTTATCCTTTAGTATGACAAGGACTTGTTTTGCACATGGCTTTAAATCCTTTGAAGTTCTGAGTGGAGTAAAAATCAGGAAGCGAGATTATATGTGATATCTATAATCACAACCCAAGGAGCAACCAAATGCATGTTGCTTAAGGTTGATGACTGAGAGGAAGGCCCTGGAGAAAGTCAGGCCACCCAGGTGGATCAGACACAGCAAGGTTAGTGCACGGAGACTGTACCAAAATGGACATGTTCATGGTCGCACCCTGCTTCTTACCTTCCACCTCCACTCACCTCTACCCTTGACCCAGACCTCTTACATGAACCACCATCCTCACTTCTACAGCCAAACCTAGATCCCTAAGGAAGAATGGGGTGGGGCAGGGGGCCAGCGCTGTAGAAAGGGGAGACATTGCCATGGTATTCTTCCTACAATGACCACCACTCTGTACACACTCCCAATTTTGATCCTCTATTTATTAATGTCTTTTATTTTGTTTATTGGTTGGATGTTATGATAGTAGGGAAGAGTTGCAAACTGATTCCTAAATATAAGTTTACAAGTCAAAGATGGGTGTTTTGCACTCACTTAAAACTTATATGTAGACTAATGTAGCAAACACCCAGAACGTTACATCTGATAGATCAGAAGCAGCTGAGGCTACAATTCTCTGCCTCTGTTCTCTCTTAAGGAATGTAGTTTTCTCTTTTTCTTTTTATTCTTTTATTAGCCCTCCCTATGAGCAAGACATTGTGAGTCAGAATCAACTCAGTAGCAGTGCATTTGATTTATATTTTGATGAGAGCAGAATACACTCATTTACTAGGTTTAGCATGTTTACTGCTCTAGAGTCATGGAAAGAGTAATGCTCTGGGCCTCTGTGTGGCATGCTCTTGCTTATTATTTTAATCTTCCCACAAACCTCCATGCTCTTCCCCTATCAGGAGCCTTTCCTTGGCAAAGACTCTCAGAGAGAGCAGGGCAGACATCTATAACAAAATGGGAATGTCTACCCTTCTGAATAGACTAAACCTGGTCACCTGAATACTTTGTGTTCAGTTCTTGGGAGAAGGAGGAGGCTTTCTATTCCCATAAAGAGTTGCGGTCGGGAAACCCACAGGGGCAGTTCTACGCTGTGCTAAACAATTCTATGACAGTGAGTTTGTTTTGTTTTGAGCATTCAGTTCTGCCAAGTAGATCATATCTTCAACTCAGAAACAGTGACGTTTGGATCTTGGCTCCCATGAAACAATTCCTTAAGGCAGTGGTTCTCAACCTTACTAATGCCATGACCCTTCAATACAGTTCCTCATGTTGCGGTGACCCCCCCAACCATAAAATTATTTTTATTGCTACCTCATAACTGTCATTTTGCTACTGTGATGAATCGGGCAAACCCTGTGAAAGGGTCAACCGAACCTCAAAGGGGTCGAGACCCACAGGTTGAGAACCGCTGCCTTAAAGCTTAATTCCAGCAGTGTGCAGGTACTGGGGGCGGTCTTTGCAAGGCACTGACCAATGAGGGTCTTCGTCACAAAAGAAGGTAACAGTAGAGCAGCCCAGGAAAGGGAAGGATAGAAATACTCCCATCTTTAGGGTGTTTGGTGCAACTCTCCTCCGTATTCTAAGCTGCATGATTTTCAAAATTCGACAAAGATGAAAAATTAGAAGACTGATACTAAGCTTGTGTTTGTTTTTTCTTAAAATAACAGAAAGAAAGACTACGTCAGAAGGAAGCCAGTGTGACCACCAACTAAAGCAGAGCTACCTGAAATGAGGGCAGTGGGCTGTAGTACCCTGCATGACCCTTTGCAACAAGAGCCCTTGGAAGATAATGTCATTCAGTGTTGGTAATGCTCGGCTTGTTGAGGCCATGTCAGGAGAGACCTCCGTGCCTTCGTAGCAAAGTTCCTTGTGAAGTCACAGGAGCAATGCGAAGCTATTGAAGGGAACATCGCAGTAGTGTTTAGTAATTGTTTCTTACAGAAGTCCAAAATTCACACTGCCCTGAGACTGGACAAACACCGCGACTTTCCAAACCTCTAAAGAAGTGGCGATCTCAAGCTCGCTAACAAAAGAAGAGAAGAACTTTCCTGGCAGTTGCTTGGTGAGATCTGAAGCCTCCGATTTTTAGGCTTTGCTCTTTTGATTATTGGTCTTCATTCTTATTTCGTTGCAGCAAATCCGGAAGCATCTTTTTCATTTCCCCCCAAATTGCAATTTTACTGAAACTCTTTTTTTAAGGCGTCAACGGAATTCCCAAACTAGAGACATATTTTGTTTATATAATGGGAGGGAATAAAATGGAATTGAGGGAGAACTAGCCATAAACTTCATCCTGAAGATGAGCTAGTCTAATATAACCAAAGTCATAAACCAATGAGTCTTTATGTCAGGGCAGTGTGGTTTCCCGGACCAACACAGATTCTACACTCAACTCCCAGATAAAATGGTGATACATGAGACCAGAAAGCCACAGGGTCCACGTTCCTGCTGGACAAGAGACCCAGTCATAGAACCTTTTTACATTTCAGGCCATTTGCAAATGGGTAATGCTGTGTTCGCGTACATCTGTGCACGTCTAGTACTGTGACTGTACCGCTGTACCTCTGCTTCCACTCCCAAGAGAGAGTTTCTAGGCAAGAAAGCAAATGATGCATGCAACCTTGGATCCCAACCTTGGGTAACGGACATGGGAAGTAGGAGCTGGATCATGGGCCTTGGATATGGAGAACATTAAGTTCACAGAACACATTCATTACATCAAAATGAAAAGAGGTGGTTCCTTTGACATAGAACTCTGAGTAGAACATTGTGCAAGGGCATCTTTTCCCAGCCCTGCAAACCTGTGTAACCACCGCCAGAGAGAAACCATCACTGACATTTCCCCCCTTAAATAAGCACTGCTCTTGGACCCTATCATTGTCAGGGGAAATAAAAAGGCTAATGGGAGCGAAGTCCAGACTCTCTCCTCCATTGGTGGGGAGGCAGTCCAGCGATGAGCAGGAACCTTGAATGGCTTCCCAACCTGACTGCCCCATGTGGCCCCAGCATCGTCCCAGAACTTCATAATTTTCCAGTTGGCTGAGTGTCTCCCAGAATATACCTTCCCGTCATCAGCCCCCTCAGGGACCCTGATAGTAGATTGAGCTGCCCAGAGCACCATCATGCTGATCTCAGAAAGGAAGAATGCACATGCAGGATTCAATCCAGTTGCAGAAGTCATGGTCATGCAGATGCCACATCTTCTGCAGCAGTGGAAAAGACTGGAATGTGGTGGCATGGTTGGGGACAGCGGGGGTGGTTAATCAGCCTTATTCAAAATAATGGGAAGAGGAAGGCAAGACGGGAAAACCGGAATGAAACTTCTGTGATCAGAAGGCTTATGTTGCTTGGAAGCGAGCTCTCCCTACTACTTCCCTGAGGGGGTTCTCGTTTATTTCCACTTGACTGTGAAGTAAGATGAGGGGCGCCCTGGCTCCCAAGGAGAGCCCTGCTATGTCCTGTGGTGTTCCTCCAGGAGGGTCGCACAGAGAAGTGCCTGTTCCGCCCCCAGGCCCTGGAAACCACCTGCGTTTAATGATGCCAATGAAAAGCTAGGTCCTTAGAGGTCCTTGTAGACCGACCTAAAGTGAGAGAAGAGCGGGAGGCTTTCAGTGGAATCGACATTGTCCACGTCAGGTCTCGGGATGCTCACAAGATAACCGTGGAAGGTGAGGAGGACTGTTTCCTTTGCCACGTGACCCTGCAAGGACCCGCTCTCAGGGAACCGATGTTGACAGAAGCATGACTGGGAACGCACGTTGGCTTTCATCCTAGTTCCGAGAGTAAACAAATGGCAGAAAAATGCCTTTTTAAAAGGTTTTCCTTCGTTGGAGATCCTGATGGTTTTGTAGCACTGAACACAGCAAAGAAGCGTAGGGCACAGTGGGGTGTCCATTATCAGAGGTCTGTGAGGCCCTTCCCAACTGCCCCCGGGTTCTGCACCATTGGCACAACCTTCGAGGCCAACTTACGTGGGTGCTTAGCAAGGATTCATGAGAATTTGTTCAGGGTGAGCCATCTCAAACGGGCTGGAGACCTTGCAAACGGTCCCTTGAAGAAGCCCTCGCGCTGTGCCGCATGCAGTACAGCTGCTGTCTCCACATTCTTCGTGGACAGGACGTGGTAAGGAGGCCACGTTGGTTACCGCTGCCTGTAACCAGACACGCGCACCTGACTTAATAGTAAGCCTCTGATAAACTGTAAGCGGTGCACACCTTGATCGCTTCCTGCCAGGTCATGAAATCCGAAAGCGTAATTTGTAAGTGGGTCAGATCCTTGTCGGAGTAGCTGGCAGTGGCCATCATGCATCCGGGTGTTTGTGCATTAGTGGTAAAGCACACAGAGGTTCGCACACGCTGGGTACAAGCCGTCCTGTGAGGGGTCAGAACGCGGGTTAGAAGGAGGTTGGTGACTCTGTGTTGGAAGAGACAGACAGTTGATCGTTAACATAAAAAAGGACCATGTGGCCAAGGAGCAATGTGAGTGTGTATGCTGACCAAGGAAGATCATCATTGATCATGGCCCTGTCCCTCCTGCCCAGCAGCTGCCTCTTGAGTTCCCATCAGTGGTCTCGCTCCACATATCTCCTGCAACTTCTTAAGAATTGGGGGAAAACAATTTCTAAAACCCAGGAAGTCGAGTGAGTAGAATATGGTGCTTTTACATCTTTAAACGGTGGAGCCTAAAACTGCCAGCACAGTGGAAGAGCTGAATGTCAGATAGAGTGCTCATCTTTATTATTATTATTATTATTATTATTATTATTATTATTATTATTATTATTATTCCCGTTAAGCATAGCCCAAGCTGTGCATCTGCCAAGTTCCTTCTTTTCCCATAAGCTCCACCAGGAACAT